GTAAACTTGATAACTCTTTGGGAAAAAAAATAGCATGTGGGGGTGGGGTGGAGCAGGCTGACTAAAAAAACATCACAAACCCAAACTTGCCACCATAGAGTCAATGCCAACTCAGAGCGATGATGCTCCAGGGCAGGATAGAACTCCCTGTGGTTTTCTGAGACTGTAACTATTTATGGGAGTTGAAAGCCCGTCTTGGAGCAGATGGTGGCTTTGAACTGCTAACCTTGCAGTTAGCAGCCCAACTTGTAACCATTCCTCCAACAGGGCTCACTAAAGATATATGTTATTTGCAAAAATTAAATGGATAAATAAAATTTGATCTTATTCATGGACTGTTAGAAGTGTTTTCCTAAAACATGGAAAAGAATGACCGTGGGGCCTAGTGATTGAAGATGGAAGTGAGAGAGTGCAGAGTGCTCAGAACTTGCTCAATCCCAGCAAGTTCGTGCCGGAGAGTTTAGGAGACGAATACATGACAAAAGTACACACTCAGAGCAAACTTCAGGTAATGAGATTGTTTTGCAAATAAGGACACATTTAATGGTTAGACAATCTGACAAAAACAGCCATTTGGAAATGGAAAGTAAGTAAATAAATAAAATAGAGGCAAGAGCTTTCAAACATTCAAAGGGGGGAAAGGAATTACTTATGAAAGCTGCACCTACAGACAGGCCTGTTCTAGCAACCCTAGGGGTAAAAGAAAAGTGGTGTGGAGAGAGAGAGAGAGAGAGAGAGAGAGAGAGAGAGAGAGAGAGAGAGAGAGACCCTGCTGGAACTGGAGACATTGATTCCACCTTTAAATATTTAGAATTTTCAGTGAATACAGGAAAATGTATTTCATTAAGGTCGACGTCAGCTATTTGACATGCAGTGATATTTTCACAGTGTGAGAAATATCAAGCTGACATTCTGCTGTCTCTGCGATGGTTCTTTCCAAATGTCAGAGGGCAGAAGCACGTTCATGGGACGCCAGGGCCTTATGACAGTGTCAATTTAAAAGCCATTCCCATCGACTTTCTTTGTCTTTAAACACGCTAAATAAAGTATGAGAAGCAGGTTTGAGAGTTCTGGGGAGCAAGGAAGAGCAAAAAAGACACCTATTGACAAGAAAACTCTAAATAATAGATTGATGTGCTCGTACGTCAATTTCCATGGACCCCTCGCTGACAAGCAGGCTTCAGAGACTGACTGCTTCCTAATATTTCTGAAACTGGAGTCTCGCCGTTCATCTTATTACACTCACCGACAACCGAGCTGCCTAACAGATCGCTGGAATGGAATTTGGGAAGGAGTCGTGAAGATAAAAACTATTTGATCATCTTATAATGATCTTTAATAAATAAACCAGATACCCATGTGAATATCCCTGACTACTTTTAATACTCACACCAGGCTTCTGGTTAAAATCAAATCACCTACTCTTATAAATGAAATATTCACTCTTTTGTTCACCATTTTCTTTAACAGTTAATTATGAACTACTGAACTGCTGCTATTTTGGATATAACTCAAAGGAGTTTTTTTAAAACAAATTGGCCACATCAGAGATAATTATGAGCTTAAATAAACCTTTGTCTTTCCAATTATGTGCACAGCAGTGCTCCTAATTACTTAAGGTCACGGAAATTCTGTGGCATCCTCGGAGAAGCATTTCCCTGCAATCCTTGTATATATATTTCTGTTCCCAGAAACCAATAGCTTTTGTTCGTTCCACGCCCTTTTTAAGCAACTGACGATGATCGGTTCGAGTCTTAAACTCAGCCACGCTCTTTCGGACTTCTGTAGGTCAACAGAAGGAGTCTCCATGGGGTCACCAGATGCCCAGAGTTATCTTGTGACATGTTATTTTGGACACAAACAAAGCTGGGAGACTTCTGTGAGCCGGATTAGCTACTCTGGGGGAAACTTTAAACAAATAATGAAGGAACACTGGAATTTTGTTCCTCAAATCAAAATCGAAACATGGTATGCTAATTTTGTTACCATGCTGTTTTGTGTTGCAGAGTGTATTGTATGAGGAGGCTTCTTCAGGACGTTTGCAGAAAAATCCCATGATCTTTTCCATTCCATTTTCTCATGGACTTCCTGAAGTCCCCTGATGGAAGAGAACTGTTTCCCAGACATGACCCCCCCCCCCAATCATTGCTGTACTGGGGCCCCTTGTTGCAGCCAATGTGTGGGTCTGTTTGGGAGGTCTCCCGCTTTTCCACTGACCCTTCACACAGCATAAGGAGCCCTGGTGGCACTGCGAGTCAGGCACTGAGCTGTGAACCACATGGTTGCCTGTTCACACTAGACAGCAGTGGGCTCGGTTTCTTCATTTTCAGAAATGTTACCAAGCACGATGCTTCTCATTATGACTGGTCCCTCTCGGAGACCCCCTGACAGCCCCGAAGGAATGGGATGAAGTTTTTTCCTTCTTACTTCTAAGCAGCATTCACTTCCTTCACACCAGATTTGCTGGTTTTTCTGGAAGCCCATGGTATAGTTCATGTTATTTGCCCACACCATCATTCAAATGTACCCATTTTTTCTTGTATCCTCCATTTTCCTCGTCCAGCTTTTCCAAGCAGGGCATGAGGTAATGGAAAATATCATGACTTGGATTAGACTTCAAAATGACATCTTTACTTTAGCCTGTTAGTATGACGCAAAGCCCTGAATTAAGTGCTGGATTCAAAGATTGTATTACCTGAGAGCCACAAAGGCCGGACACACATGGTTTTGTTTGCATTGAGGATCACACACAGACATGGAAATGCTATTGTCTACATACACTTCACTGTGGTCTCGAAGACCAAAGAGTCCCACCGCTGCTTTGAGCAGAAATGCCTTTGGGAAAGCAATGGACGCATGAGGGAGCAAAGACTGCTTCCAGGATGTTGGGGCACAGCTCCCTTCATGTCCCTGGGCCACCCCAAGAACAAATAGCCAGAGGATGCCAGGGTGGCAGGTCCAACCTACCCACTCCCATTAAGGGAAATGAGGCCCTCTGAGAGTCCCAGTCCTTGCCCAAAGTCCCAGCGCCAATTACAGCCAGACACCAGGGGGTTGTTAATGACTCCATCCTGGTCTCTAATAGCTCCAGGAGGGCAGGGAGTTTCATTTGGTTTATTTACTGCAGTATCACCAACAGCTCAATGTTGAGCTCAGCAAGGGCTAATTTTGTCTTCTGGTCACTTCCCTATTGCCTTTTCTTCTTTACTGCTCAGTCCTTTCTGCTCTGGAACCACTGGGGCTGGATGATCCCCTCTGGACACAACCTTGCTCACCTTGCCCAGGGCTTTCATTGTATGTGATTGGATTTCAAGCCACAACCATCCAATATGACAGAGAACTGCCCCCATAAGGTATCCTAGGCTGTAGTCTTTACAGGAGGATCCTGTGAGGGAGGTGTTGGGCTGTTAACCACGAGGTCTTCAGTTCAAATCCACTAGTTTCAACAAAGGAGAGAGATGAGGCTATTTGCTTTCCTAAAGATTTATAACCCTGGGGGAAAAAAGAAAAAGATTTATAACCCCGGAGAGCAGATCACCACGTCTTTTTTCCCATTTAGTGGCTTTTGGGTTTGAACCATTTACCTGCCTGATAGTAGGAGAGAGCATAAACCAATGCACCTCCGGGGTTCCTTAACCTGAACAACACCCCCCTCGCCCCACCCCCCACCCCTTGCCGCCCAAACCCAAACCAAACCCCTTGCCCTGGAGTGGATGTGACTGATAGCAACCCTGTCTAGGGGTTTGGACACTGTAAAACTTCACAGGAGCAGCCTGCAGGTTCGAATCCCAGACCTTGCCATTCGCAGCCCTAGGCTTATTTGACCATGCCACCGGAACTCCTTCTAGGGTTCCTTCCCCAACCAAACACATGCCGAGAATTGGTGCCCATTCAGAGGAGAGGGTAGAACTGCTCCTGTGGGTTTCTGAGACTACCCTGGTTCCCCGAAAATAAGACAGTGTCTTATATTAATTTTGCTCCCATAGATGCACTAGGTCTTATTTTCAGGGGATGTCTTATTTTTCCACGAAGAAGAATATGGTACACTTATTGTTGAACAACAAAAAAGGAAATTTATTACCTGTATACGGAACGGTAGTAGTTGTCATCACAAAGCAACATAACCAGACAAACTGTGACTCCTACAGTATCAAGAATTCCTTGTTACTATCATTATTTCCATTTACTCATTTATTCAATGACAGTCATGTCATCATCTTCTGGAACATCATCATAACAATCCAAAACCTTATTTTCGGGGAGGTCTTATTTTTTGGGGGATGCCTTACTTTCGGGGAAACAGGGTATCACGATTTACGGGAGTAGAAAGCCCCTTCTTTCTCCCTCAGAGTGGTTGGTGGTTTTGAACTGCGAACACTTCTGATCACAGCCCAAAGGGGGTCCAGGGCTCCCTGGGAAAAAACTCAAGTCAGGCTGTGCCCTGAGTTTGAAAGTGGTAGGAGGGTGTTTGTGGTGTGTCAGGCAAGTGTACCACCAGGGGACTGGGTGGGGTCAGATTACACCCCACCCCTCTCCCCGTTTGGCCACGCCCCCTGGTTGGCGCTGCGAGGTGCCGGGCGCCCCCTCGTGGCCGCGTGGCCGCGCTGCACCGGGCGGCGGCGGCGGCGGCGGAAGGGGCGGTGCTGAGCCGGTGGCCATGGCGGAGGCCGTGCAGGAGGAACTGGTGGCCCTGGCGGCGATTTTCTGCGGGCAGGACGAGTGGGAGGTGCTGAGCCAATCAGGTGACTACCCCCGCGCCGAAGAACAGGCGCCCTCGGACCACCGGCCGCCGGTACCTGCCCACGCCCTCCTCCCAGGCAGCCTGGGCGCCCTGACCCGGGCCGGGGGACCTCGCCGCCGCGCCCCGCTAGACAATGGAGAACCGGGGCCACACTAGACAGACAGCCCTTTCAGTGGAATAATTGAAAGGCCACACACTGGGGACGGGAGTGTGAGGCGAACCCTGCTTGCAACGAGGCCCTGAACCGTGAATCAAGCGACAAGTGCGCGTGCGCCCCGCGCTGGGTCCCCTCATGAACCCACCCACCACTTGTCCTGCCCTTAGCTGTGGGTGCCCTCCGATCCCATATTTCCTTAGCCAACACCCATCTCTTAGTTCTCACCTTACAAAGAGGCCTGTTCTGACGCCACTAGCTTAAATCCAGCCTTCGCTTTGTGTCCTTTAACTTCATAGCATTTGCTACAGTTTTAACTATAGTTTAAACTCTAGTCATAGGTGGCTAGTGGTCTGACCTTGTATGGGAGCAAGATCCTTGTCTATCTTGTAAAGCACAAGACCCAGGCACTTAAAACAGGCACGTGGTAGGTAGCCAGGGAGTGAGTGAATGGATGAATTTTGTTCTTCCATGATGAAAACCACCTTAGCCAATGGCCCAAGTTACGGGGGGCTTGAGTGTTACTATGATGCGGAGCCAGTTTCAGTGCAACTTCCCGACTAAGACAAACTAGGAAGAAAAGTCTGGTGTACTAGTTGTCAAAACCGGCCAGTGCAAACCCTATGGCTCACAATGCCCCCATCTGCAACCTCCATTGTAATGGTACACTTACCCTGTACCTACATGGTGGTATAGGGGGCTAGGCAGGGAGCTGCTAACCACAAAGTGAGCACTTCAAACCCGTCAGCCGCGCAATGCAGAAAGATGAGACTTTCTACTCCCATAAAGAGTTAAAGTCTCAGAGACCTAAAGGGGCAGGTCTGTCCTGTCCTATAGGGTCAGTCTGAGTCAGAATCTACTTGATGGCAGTGAGCTTGGGGTTTACTGTTGTGCACGGGACAGCATGTGTCAATTGCTTTATGGGAGTAAAGAACCTTGTCTTTTTCCCATGGAGCAGGTGGTGTCTTTGAACGGTTGACCATGCATTACACCACCTTATATTACCAGGGCTCCTTAGCCTAAAGGGGGTTTGCCAATTTTAAGTTCTTTCCCCCAAAGAACATTACTTCATTTAACTCACATACCTTCAGTTCTTGCTCTCTGCAAACACTGGCAGGGGTTCGGGGATGTGAAAGGCACTCTATGTGTCCTCCAGGAGGTTACAGACTAGAGAGGGTCTTTTAAAATAGTTTTTAGTGATAGCTACAACTTATTCCCAGTCTGTGGTTTCTAGTAAAAAACAAAATACCAGCGAGGAGGGTGTAGCGCTTCTGGTTGTGTTTGATCAATTGGAATGTATCTGAGAGAAATTACTGAGAGGTGAA